ATGTGTATAGTCATTTAGGGCTAATGCGTTTCTGAGAGTTTGAGTCAATTAACAGCTCGAATGTATTTGAATGTACCTGACAATTAATCAATAGAATTATGTGCATTCATTTGAAACGTGTTTTTGATATATTTCATTGTTTGTTTCGAATAATTGTTTGATTAAGTTTCTGCATTAATCAAACTATTGCATTGGTACCTTGATAGATCCAAGTTAAGGGACTTACAAGTGGTATCAGATCCTTAAAAAACGACTTAAGGCTGTTTTGGTATCAATTGCTTTTCGAAACATTAATTAGTTTGAGGTGTTTTGGGGTTGTATTAAAAAAAAGATTTGTTGTTCATCGTGTTGCTATTCTTCGTGTTCATCATTTTCTTAGTGTTCTTCACTAATTTTGGAAGATATTACTTTGGAAATCGTTTTTGGTAATTTACCCAATTTTAGGATTCACTGGATAAGGAAACTCGATCAAAAACCTCGGTTTCGGCTAGGTCTCAGAGTTTTCGGCGGCCACTTGGTGTTTTCGGTACAAAGGTAAAAGGGAAGAGATTTCGGCCAAAACATATAGTTCTCGGCCAACTGTTTTCGGTCAATCTTTTGACTTTCAGGGATTTTGGTCAAAAAATTTGACCTTCAATGTTCTCGGTCAACAGTGTGTTGACTATTGGTGTTTTCGGTCAGAGAGCATTTATTTTTTTATTTTCGGTCAGATTTTTTTTGGTGAATAATGAGTTCTTCAATCACCAAGAAGGTAAGTGAAACCTCATGTTCTCAATCCTGTGATAATAAAATAAATAAATACCGTGAAAAAAAATGAATTATTAGTTAGAGAGGTTTTTGACCTTAAAAATGAAATATATGAAATCAAGAAAGTAAATAAACCGCTTAAAGAAAAACGAGAAGCACAAACTAAAGATTTAACCAGGATTTAAACAAGAATACAGCACCAAATGTGTTCACTATCGTTTTGCCAAGGAGAAAATTGCAAACTTAACTGCTGAACTTGATGCATTAAAGGCTAAATTTAAGGATGCTGAATTTAATTTTAAGAAATTTGATGTGTCAAGTGAGAAAGTTGAGTCTATGATAGAAAAACAATTAAAGTGGAAAGACAAACAGGGTGAGGGTCTAGGGTATCATAGCGTTCTACCTCTTTTCAATGATAACTATACTTCGCCCCTGGAAACCAAAGAAATAGAGACTCCTGCACAATATGGCCAGCCCCCTGTAACTGTCTCAGTCAAGACTGAACAATCCGACCAAACTGAGAGTATTAATGTGATTGATTATAATGCTTCTATTTCATGTGCAGATAAAGTAATAGTGCAAGATGGTTCGAGCAGAACAAAAATAATTCTAGATCTGCTAAAAAATGCTTCAAAAACTTGTGATGATGATAATTCCACTGTTAAAAAACTCAAGCCACAAAACTTTGTTAAACAGACTAATAAATGTGCTTGTGCTTGTGGAAGGTCTTTGAAATATACTTCATCTGGACAAGGACCAAGTCACAATCTCATTTATTTGAAAAGACAAACTTGTATTAACAGTGGGACTCCCGGTCACATTGCTAGAAATTGCCCATATCGTTCATATGTTCTCTACTATAAACAAGGTTGGCAGAACATGCCAAGGGGGAGATCTTCCACAAGAAATCGTTTCAGTTCATGTTCAAGCAATGGTGATTGGAATGCTAAAAAGACCAAAAATCAAACTCTCAATAACAAAAAGGTCTTGTCTGACAAGAGATCTGATTTGGGATCAAGATCAGTAAGTTCGAAGTCATCTCAGTAATCGGTGTCAAGCTCCAAAGTGAGTGCTGAAGCATCCATCCAAGTAAACAAGAAAATGGTTAAACCTGACTACAGATGGGCAACAAAAGTTTCAACTCCCAAATCACCTGAAAATTCTAACATTTCTTCATTTTCTGTGTTTGATAAATAGGATATGACTTGGGAACGCGTATCATGCGTAGATGGCAAAGGTCAACCCAGTTTCAAAATGGACTGGGTTCCCAAAAACAAATTAATCCCGCACTCTGTGCCAGAGCAGCTATGGAGGAATATCATCAAACTTCGGTATGTTGATAGTGGCTGTTCCTGGCACATGATAGGGGACATCTCTCTTCTGCATGACATTCAGAATTTTAATGGAGAGCATGTGTCCTTTGCGGGAAAGGAAAAGGAAAGATCACAAACGGGGATTTCTTTAATTGCTGAATTACGGTGTGAATTTTCTGACTCTTCTATTCTCTGTGATAATAATGCTGATTTTCAATTGCCCAAAAACCTATTTTTCTAAAACCAAGTTCGTGCTTATGGGATTTCTTAAGATGATACGTTTCAAAAACTAAAATTTATTTTCATTTTTATTTAGTATTTCTTATTTTCTTCCATTTTGATTTATTCTTAGCAAAGGAAATTTTTGTGACAGTCTTTTGGGAATTGATATGATTTAGTGAAAAAGGGCAAATGAAATACGTGTAAAGCACTAAAGTTGAACTGTCTAAACTCTGCGTTCAATGTGTTGGAAGGCATAAAGGACTAAGACAAATGGACTAGAAAATGTGGATTCATTTGAACTTAGAAAACCCCATTTGGACTGACAATACGACTCTCGGATAGATTTAACAGTATAATAGACAAGGAGGCCTATGACATAAATTGAAGCTAACTATCATCTAGATCTGTGGCTCAACACTTCACTGACGTATGGATTTGTGTCCTTAATTCTGGTATTGACAGGGGGCGACTGAGGGGTTCTGATAAATTGGGTCTGTTTAAAATCATTATTCTTTCTTTCTTAGCCAGCCATATGTTGTCCCCTCTACGTGATCGGAAGATCCGACCTGGGCACAACATATCCACTCAGATGATGTTCACTGCTTTCAAATCAGTATATTGTCTTCTACAAATCTCAAAAATTCTACTCTTTATGTTAGTCATATGTTGTTCCCTCTACGTGATCGGTAGATCCGACCTGGGACACAACATATGCATTCCACAATGATTATCTACTCACCTAAAGTAAAGGATTCCAAGAAATTTCCTTGATTATTGGGGTATGCCATTGAGTGGGGAACATGTTCTAGTGTACTAACATTAACTACACCCATAACTAAAGGCTGACTAGTAGATTTTATTGGCTAAATTTAAGTGGACAACAATATCCTTGGTCGTCGTCAGATAAAATGGTCTATCTAGAAATATAGTAGCTATATATAGTCACTCATAATTTGTCCTGAAATTGTCATTTGTGTTTAATTGGATCACAATATCAATGATTGACCAGAGCTTTTCATGAACGTGTGTGCTGATAAACCTTATTAATTTGCTCCATAACGTTTGATCCCAAAAAGTTTTTGTTCTGGATTACATTTTTTAGTTATTTAAATTTGTACATATTTTCATTGTTATGCACAAATTTAGAGGGAAAAATAATAAAATAATAAAAAAAGAAATAATAAATAAATAAATAAGTAATTTAAAAAAAATTAAAAAAAATAAAACAAAATAAAAAATAAAAATATATAATTAAAAAGGGTGTGTTTAATATACTAAAATTTATTTTATTTTTATTATTATTTTCTTTTTGGTTTTTGAAATGTAAAATCAAAAGAAAACCTCTTTATTAAAATTGGGTTAATTTTTCTTTGGGCCGAAATCGGATTAAGTGGGCCATCTGGGTTTTTCTTGATCATATATATACTATGTTTTCGGTTGGTTTGGATTTTTCACCGAAAAACCCCAAACAACCATCATCATCATCGTCGTTCTTCTCCTTTCTCTCTTCGACTTTTTCTGCAAAACCTACTCACTCGTTGTTCTTGTTGAAAATTGTTCGGTGAATCAGGTAGATTTTTGATTTTCAATCATGGCAATGTCGTTAAAGTTGTTTTTGGTGTACTTGATTTCATAGATTTGTAGTTTTTCAAGTTCTTGTTCGAAGGTTTTTTTAAAATTCTGAATTGGAACAGGTCCCGATGAGATTTCGGGTTTTCGGTTCAACCCGGATCCGACTGAAATCAGATGAAGCCTTGACCGAAAACTGGGTTCTCGGCCGAAATCAATCAGCGTTGACCGAAATCATCTGGTCAACAAGAGTTTTGACCGAAATCGATGAGCTTTGACCGAAATCGATCTTTTAACCGAAATCTACTAAAATCTTTGACCTTCACCGAAATCGATTGAAATCTTGACTTTAACCGAAAACGAATAAAACTTTGACTTTAATTGAAATCAAATTTCAAGCTCAATTTAATTAAATTTAAATTAATTCTCACTTGGCTAGTTTGGTACAGATAAATGGCAGAGCAACTAAAATTTGTAGACTCTCACAACATTGCCGGATATCTCATGGATCCACCTGCTACTCATCAAGAATTCAAATCCATGATGGTGGGTTTGAACAATTGCAGGATTTCTCAAGCCCTTCATGCTAATCCAGTCATCCACAGAGTTTTGATTACTGAATTCTGGAAAAATGCTTCGATCAACAAGCTGGGAGCAGATGGAGTTGGTACTGTTGAATCAATGATGAAAGGAACACAAGTGATTGTTTCTGAACAAGTTATCCGAGAGGTACCTGAATTTTGTAATGCATCTGCATTCCTAATTGAGTACTCTGCTAATCAAGTCAATGAGGTTCTTTAGAAGATGTTCTATGAAGGAACCTATCCTCCCACCATCAAGAAGCTACTGCCACCTGAATGGAGGTTCCTGGCATATTCTTTTGTGATTTGCATTTCTGGAAGGAAGGGGACTCTGATGAAATTAGTCAGAGTGTGACCTTAGTCATTGTCGCTGTGGCTATGGACTGGGATTACAACTTCTCAAAGTTTGTTCTTGAAGAGATGAAGAGCAACCTTCGGGGAAAGAAAAAGGATCTATTTTTAATGTACCCCAGGTTCCTTCAGATGATCCTGAGTGAAAATATCCCCAAATTGAGAGGTCGTCTGATATTTGGATATGAAAACCTTGGGTCCCAACACCTTTGGACTCATGAAGCAATCAAAAAAGGTTGCCAAAGTTGCTTATAAAGGATTGAAGGAGTTGGTTAAGTTTGGAAAGTTTGCTGAAGTTGAAAACATTCCTGCTGCTAGTTCCATTAATGCTGAGATTGCCGAGGAACACGTGACACCTAAACCAAAATATCAATTCGCCTTTGAAGAAATTGAAGTATCTGATGATGAAGAAGAAGAGGATCAAGAAAAGGAATTGTCAGAAAATGAGTTTGAAAATTTCATTCAACAAAGTATTTCAATTCTTGATGAGGATGTAGTTGTTACACCTTCGAGCGTGCCTGAAAGGGAAAGGGACATAATAGTGCAATCTTCCTCATCTACCCCTGAACAGATGTATGCTCTTACTGCAGAACTTCAGCGAGCTGCAAGGAAGCGTCCCCAAACAGTTCATGTTGATACTGAACCTCCATCTGGAAGTGATCTAGAAGACTCCATCCACGCTTTACTCCCAAGGAAGCGTAAAAGAAGAGATCCTAGGTCGGGAGTGCTTATCACAAAATCTATTCAAAAGGAATCTACACCGATTGAGCCTGTCTCTATGGCTCAAAACATACCAAGCCCAGTCACTGAGTCCACTCTAGTGATTCAAGAGATTTCAAGCCCACTACCGGAGTCCACTCCTATGGATTAGGATTTTCAAAGCCCTATTATTGAAGAAGTAGTTTTGCCTTATGAAGGAGCTCAACCTTCTGGAAGCTCTTTAGAAGCCCTTGAGCTGGACATTTCCAAAGGCAAAAGAAAGTTGCTTGAGTCTGAATTTGTGGATGTCGCTCTGCTTCATAACAGAGTTTTTGATTTGGAACAAAGCTCTGTTGAAAATGATTTGATTATTGGAAAGCAGGACATTCGAATTAGTGAGCTTGAAAAGGAGAACTCCATTAAAGATTCAAAGATTTCAGAACTTCAAGCGGTTTAACTACTCTATTCTTTGACCTGAAATAACACTTACATCAAAACTTCGGTGAAAATTTTCAACCTTTGAGCGCTGACGGAGAAAATATTTTTGCTTCTAGTTCAGGTGTTGCCGATCCAACTTTTGGGTTTTGTATACTACAACATCCTATTGTGCACATACAACTCTAAATGCTTTGGATCTATGTTTTCTCTAATTATAGATACAATATTGTTTCCATAGAATAAAGCCTACAACTAGCATACAATTGACATAATCAACATAAAAGTGAGTTATAGAATTACCTCTTTGTTGTAGCTTGTAGTTTTGGCCTTTAAGAACTTAGCACCCCAAGTGTGATGCCTCAAACGGTTCACAACACACCTAGGACAAATGAGAACTTGAGAGAGAGTATTCTTGCACTAGAAATCGGCTCAATGAACTCTTAGAACCCACTAGGGTAACTGATTATAGCTATAGGGTGACATATATATATAATATATAATATATATATATATATATATATATATATATATATATATATATATATATTGTAGGATTCTAAGAGTCATGTTAAACCCTAATCCATACCATTGGGCTTATTATCCATGATCCATGATTAAAGTGGGATAACTCTTTATGGATTCTTTCATAAACTTAGTCCATCATGTATCATAAGCCCAAACAATATATATATATATATATAATATATATATATATATATATATATATATATATATATATATATATATATATATATAACTAATTTACACAATTAGTGCCCATTAATTTAATTAGTCTCTTTTGATCACTAAATTAATTCCAAATTAATTCTTGATCAATACTAATTAAATCATATGATTTCATATTAATATATTAGAACTTATAATATATTAATAAATCATAACTAACCTCTTCTCAAAAGTTCATCCTATCAAATTGTCCTGGTGATATGCAACCCGAAATGGACCATGCTACTCTCGAGTCAAGTACATACCAATTATAGTTATGGGCTTGGACACCTAATCCAACAGTCTCCCACCTGGATAAGTCTAATAACTATTATTGCAAGTACGACTCCAAAATCCTGACTAGAAATCGTAGCTCTTAAAAGCCGATGTCGAACTCTGACCTAGTCAATAACGCGTCCAACAGATAAGGGATCATATATTCCTCCATTCTAGATATCGTATGGACATGATACATGGATTATAATTATTCTCTCTATCCATTTGTTGTTTCCCGATTTCCGATTTATGACGACTGGCTAATTGAAAAAATCAAATCAGTCCAGGCTTGGCCAAGCACTTAGGGTTTGTCATCACTGAATCATCGAGGGGCCCACAAATATCGCTTTTATCCCTCTAAGGGTAAAAGGAATGGATAAACTTCGACTCAAATGTTTTCTTGTACTTACTCATCAAATCACACACAACAATATGTTTTATAACACCAAGTTATTGTTGTGTTTACATATGTTAATGTGCAACCGACTTGTAAATTACAACTCGCATGTCTTGGTTTCAAGAATATAAGATATTATCGTCTCACAATCACTCGTGATAAAATTCATGAAGTGATTCAGATGAGCATGGGTTTAATCCAATACTCGAAACTTATTCCAGGAGTACTCATGAACACTGCAACAAACTTGTGCTATGTCTATAACACCTAGACAATCTACAGAGCCATTCATGACAGTTTAACCTCAATACCTACTTCCAAAGTGTGACAACCCAAATTTCTATCTTGTAAAGTCAATCAATTCAATCAAAAGTCAAACTTGTTTCTATTATCTTTTAGCCTTGTTAAGGGTCTGTCTGAGAGTTCTAAAGCCTAGTACACTCAAGTATGGTGTGTTAGGAAGGGTTATCTTGAGTTCATTGAGTTGCAATCGAGCCGGAAAAACCATCAAAAAGGAGTTCACGGCCGTGAACCCATTCTTGGCCGTGAACATCCTCCATATATATATAGGGAAATGGCTCTATTCTTCATTACTTCAACTCTAGCCGTTAACAACACCCATTCTCTCTCAACTTTCATCAACCGTGAACACTACAAAGGCTTCCAATAAGTAAGTATCTTATTCATCTTCTTGTTGTCCATTAGAAACACTAGCATCCCCATTAAACAAACACCTCTTTGGCATGAATCTTCAAGAGTTCACGGCCGTGAACCTTTCATTGGGCCGTGAACCCTTCATAAGATCATGGTTTGGCTGTGAACCCTCTTTCCATGACCGTGAACACTACATAGAAACAAGGTTGGGCGGTGAACACATCATGTGTTCAATGGCCGTGAACCCTTCTAAGGCCGTGAACACATCCTTGTGTGGCCGTGAACTCCCTTCAATCAATCATATGTGATTGTAACACTTCATTGCAAGTGTTTCCTAGTGCCTAAGGTTGTTTCCCATACATGATTAGTTGTTATATACACTAATTATATACATATATGTGTCATTATATGCATAATAAGAGGATCTGTTTGTGCTCGAGACTTCACTTGGCATACTTAGCATCCTATATCGATCTTTCATTCGAATCAATCACTATAGGTGAGTTCATACCCCTACAACTACACTTTTAAATGCTTTTTAAATGCTTTTATGGGGGGGGGAAGGGGAATACAATTAGAAAACAATATAGTTGTATAATCAATCACATGTGATTTATAACTATCAAACTAAGAGATTTTTTATACTTCAAAACTCTGTTACCAAACAAACTGTTTCAAATCGTTTTATAAACTGACATCAAGTCATCAATAATCATTCAAATGGTTAAAACACATTTTATATGATAAACTCTTTAAATGTTTTACAAAAACTCTTTTAAACTTATATATCATCAAAATCATGTCTATATAGATATAGTTATATAAATAAGGTTTAAAGGGCTTATGACTAATAACTCGCTTAATTTCCTTTTCCTTGTTTGGATGTGGACTTAGGGTATCGGTTATTTGTCTGAATGTCGTTTAAATCTTATTTATATATTATATATATGTATGTAGATATAAAAAGTACTTCCAATTAGTTCAATACCTTTGGGTAGAAGAGGTGTACAAACATGATCAGTCGTTCAATTACAGAGCTTGCTAGTAAACTATAATAGGTATAGTTTAGAGGATTACTACTTACTATTTCTAGAACAATGAAACTTACATGAATCAGTACTTACATGAGTTAGTTCTTACATGAGTCAGTTCATACATGAGTCAGTTCAAACATACTATACAAGGAACATACTATAACTGGAACAGATCGAAACATACTATAACTATAACAAAAAGGAACATACTATAACAAGAACAAGATAACATTAATGTGAGCCACTACTTCATGGCATAGCAATATACTGTTGTGTCACGTTTTGTAACCAGAGTCTCCTGGAGGAGAGCGTGAGTTTGTGTATAGATCTATATGCGATTGACCATCCTACACCTTGTTGCTAGCTACAGTGGGACCTACAGGTCTACGGGTGACAAATGTCATACCATTTCGACGCCTATGATCGTCGTGTTTTATCCTAGTCAATCAAGCATGGTTATAACCTCATCACATTTTACCTTAATTAAACAAATTGGTTTTAAGGTAGTTAGTACTTCAGTAGTTACTTTATACAATACTACTGTACATCTTCATTTTCCCATTACATTCATATAATGATATTCTCACATAAAAGGTAATGTAAACTATTTACTAGTAATGATAGTCATACACTTGGGAAAACATACATTTTTACAAAAGAACAAACATACAAAACAGTTGGGTCTTGGTAGAAGACTACTATCCATTTTTAGTAGAAAATATAGGATTTTCTAGGAAGTATACAAACAATTACATCAAAACACTTACAAACATTTTCATCAAACTAATGCAAACATTTGACACTAAAACACTTATGAACTCACCAGCTTAAATGTTGATCTAATCTTTCAAAATAACTTGTATTCTCAGGTCACCAGTACACAGGTACCGATGACCAGGTTTTGAGAAGACGGAGTATGTTCAAGACTCATCTTTTATTTTGATTCATATTTTGGTGTCTTTCAAACTTTACACAGAACACACTTGTATTAAATTATATTTTTAATGCAATGGATGATGTTGTTGCTTGTTTTACTATTGTGCATTGTTATGATACTATACATGACGTCCTCCACCCCCGAACGTTTCCGCCGTTCTGGTTTGGGGGTGTGACACAAAGTATGATCGACTGTGGATGGTTTGAATAACCTAGTTATTCGAGAAGTCAAAACATGCAAATTGAAACACAAGAATAATCGAATCCAATATGGTCTCAGAACTTATGAATATAAATAAAACACATTTTATTTAATTACCATATTGATTCCACATTATTCATTGTATAATGTTTCGATTAATCAACTTAATACCTGAATTAAAACAATAGTTATGTCATGCTCCAATCATGCACACTATGTTTGCCTATGGTCCTTTCTTTTTGAAATAGATCAATTGACAACATTTCAATGATGCTCATTTCACAATTCCAAATCTTATGATAAATGTAAGAATACCATATTCTTGCCATTTACTGAAATCCGTTAGATTCTAAACTTATATGCATTGATCCTCTTGTAATGACTATGCACAAAAGTCACTGAGACTTGGCAACAAACATTACAAAGTATTCCAATGGAGAGAAATTCTATGGAAATGAAGTCTCATATTCAAAGTACATTCCTTTGAACATCCTTCTTGCATTAAGTTT